CATAGGCAAAGTTTAGTTTAATTTTATAATATATGGTGAAAAATTATCAAGAATTTTACGTCAATCTACACACCTAATTCCGTTGACAACAGCTCTTTGTTTTACTAAAAATTGACATTATAAATATTCCTCGCACTGTGCCCAGTTTCAACTAGTTCCCTGAAGTTCAGATGCTTTTTGCCTTTGAAACTCGATCTGTCCCCAGACGCCCCAAGTTAATGTGAGTACCGAATCTACAACTCCTTAAAAACGAGCCTACTCCTTGTTTTAATTACTGTTCCAGTATTCATATGCTTCTCTTAATTCGATATTTGACAAACACTCTTCTTGTATATGTATAGGTATCAAGACATACCATACGTGAAAGCAAAGGTATTAGATTAAAGTCCAGACATGGGATTTACCGATATTCTGCGCCACACGACACAGCTGCTAGGGGTTCGGCTCATCACCGGGCCCTTTCGTCCCCCATGTGTTTTTCTGGTCGTTACTCTAGTTTTGAAATTGCAGCTTTTTAATTTCCTCAGAAATTAATCGCTAACTTTAAACAGATCCGCCTGTCTGAGACTGACAGGCTGAAACTTAAATAGGCGAAAGTTGCAATTTCAAAACTGAAATATCTACCAGATAAGCACACGGGGAACGCTGGGGGCTCACTAAGCAGCCAAAACCCTCGCAGTTTTGTCGCTCAGCGGCCGAATATCGGCGAAACACGTGTCTGGGCTTTTAGCTACCGCCTGTGCTGTCGCGTATAGTCTATCATGCTATCCATTCATATGCTGCTAGCTTTCTGTTGGCAGTTGATGAATATTACACGGTTATTCCATGATGGCTGATGAACTTCGACTCAAATATTCATGTCAAACTTCAATCAGTGCCTATAAGTATCAAATAGACTGATCTGCTCCAGGTTAGGGATTGATCTCCGAGGAAAGTAAAAAGCCGCAATCTTCCTTGTATGTAGTTTTAGTGCCAGGCAAACGCACTCTTCGTTGATGTTTCCGGCTCAATGTTCGGAAGAAGAACGATGCAAGCATGCAGTAATTCACCTGTTTTTCTGGGATGCTCGACGGCGTAATGTCCATCATTGCATCATGGAGGCAGTTCGGCTGCTCAACTACACGTTCTATGAAGAAGTCAGACAGAGGATTTGGCCTGGTCCTTTTCATACATTTCTCTCTGCGCGTCCACGAAGGTGACATAAATTCCATCACCCAAATAAGCCATCCATGCGCTGTGTGATTTCCCGAGTCTACGCACAAGCTTATAGACCAGTACAAGCCTGAATTGACGCTTTCGTTATAACTTGAACAGGTGGTTAGAGCGTTGGCTGCGCTAAAGCCTTCCCCTTACTGCGTGGGTTCGAATCCCACCGAGGCGCCGAGTTTTTCACAGTTGGGTCAATATGAATAATTCAAAAATCTGCCAAAACATCAATGAAAAAAAGACAAACTCATAACCACAGACTAGGGCAGGGAATTCACTTTTCAAAGAAAAAACCATAACGTCACCTAACCTGCCTATTTTTCACGGACAGCACGAGCTCACTGATGGGCAGGCTAGTTGTTTGAATTTTCTTAGGTTCACCGGGCACAGACAACATTACTTATTCTGGTTCTGGAGATTCTCGATAGTACTTACATATGGCTCAAGTCCCTGTCGGTTTTGTAGTTGAGACAAATTCATTGTCCTTGATCACAATGGATGCTCATTAGTATTGCAGTGATAGCGGCTTCCACTACAATACCACCCGACCGCTGTAGCCTTAGCAAATGAGAAAAATCTTATCATTATAATACTACTTGCTATATTTAAGTAACATTTTAATATGGTTTCTTATTGTCTCGAGTCCATCACCTACGCTCACTGGGATGCACCTATACAATTTTTGTCGTTTGGTATGTTATTTCTTTCACTGCAATCCAAACGATTGCTGTACTACTGCTATTACCACTAACACTCGAGACAGTTCGTCTATCTGTGCAGAACTGAGGCTTTCCCGATTATTCGTTACCTTTATGATAACTTTTTCCAATTTTTGAGATGTTTAAGTTGCTTGTAAACAAATAGGGAGTTAGGAGGTGCAGACTTACGCTTTCCTCACATAAACTGAACTGTTTTATAGTTGTGAAAATTCCCATAACAGTATTCAGAAGACAAGGTGACGAGCAAACGTTGCTTTCGATAACTTCACTTCAGGCCGGTACATTTATATGGGAACGGGGTACAGTGAGTGAAAAAAAATCGATAAAAGTTAGTTTTTAAATTCCAGGCTGGGTAAGAGCGGAAGGGCGCAGAAAGTTGTATGTGTTTAGTCAACCTTTGACCACGGTAAGAGCGGAGCCTGAACAAGGTTCTTCTGGATGCATAGGGTCGGTTTTCGCAACCCGATGGCAGCTGCTTCTGCTGTTGCTAACAGGCGCTGGCCCAGTAGCTTAGGGTAGCTCGAGGGAACCTTATAAATCACACGAAATACTTCAGCGGGGTCTGCACGAAGCCCTGAATCCACTGCATGCGCAAGGATGGCGCTATCTATTCTCCTGATTTTACCTCTTGCCAGCCATGCGGGAACGTGCTCTCGTATTCTTTTGGTAAGGCGCCGACTCGTTCGACCAATATAACCTGCTCCACGGGAGCAAGTGAATGAGTAGATGCGCATTGAAGTGGTCTGAGGTGGCAGCCTATCCATGCCTTCTCCGCGTAGAATAGGGTTAGTAGAAAATGATATTCGAACCCTTGCTGCTGGGAAGGATCTCGGGACAGCTTGGTCAAGGCGTCTTCTCAGGGGTTCCCTCGCAGCGTCTCTTTGGAAAGAAACTTTGAGGAACAAAGTTTGCTTTTCGGTGGTCAGTGTCGTGGGTTTTTTCGGGTCGTTCGGCAGTGTTCTTTGCAATGAACCTGTCATGACACCCGTTTTCGCGAAGCAGGTCCTGGATTTTTTGAGTTCCTCCTCGATACTATCTGTTGAACAAATTTTTCTAGCTCTTTTTGCTAAAAACCTGATTAGACTTCATTTTTGTTGGAGGGATACGAAACTAGCGAAGTGCCTATATTGTCCAGACCAGGTTTTCTCCTGATAGACGCTCCTTCGGATGCTACCGTCAGGACTCCTGTTTAGACGGACATCTAAAAAAGAAGAGAATAGGCCGATTTCATCTTCAACGTGAAGTTGATCGACGGATGAGCTCGATTTACAGCATTTCAGAGGGCAGCACCGCCGGTTTCTGTGGTGGCAATGGCAAAGATATCATCAACGAAACGACCGTAATGTTTAAGCTTTTCGATCTGATCGCTTAGTTGAAATCTCTCCGGCTTTCTGCGTCCTTCCGCTCTTGTCTAGCTTGTATTTTAAAAATTAACTTTTATTTATGTTTCGCTCACTGTACCCCGTTCCCATATATCTGAACTTATGTTACCGAAAGCAACGTTTACTCGCCACTTCGTCTTCTAAACTGAACTAGACTGAACTGAATACGAGACTGCAAGAAGTTCTTGGGAATCCCCAACCCTGCCCTACCCTATTTGGCACGGCTGGAGCTCTTGCGGTTGATCATTTGTCCATGGATCGCCTCCTCCTGTCGTCACAAAGCCACCTAACCATCAGCACAAACTCCCTGAGACATCCCCCAAGGTTTACACAGAGTTAAAGTTCTCTGTCAGTACGGTAGATGTGGTATGGAGGCCAGTGCTGCATGCCTAGTATTTCTTCTGGAGTGGCCACACTGTAGATATGAGGTCGATGATTTTACAGCGTTTCCGAAAGCCGTAATGCATTACCGGATCTGAGAAAATTTGAGTGAGGATTTTCGCAACAATACTTCGAAGGCAGGCATTACGTGGCTTATCGTATATATATCACTCTCCGTTTCGTTCGTAAAGAAAGAGAATGATGGCATTATTTAGGTCATTCTTGGGTCGTGTCTCCCGGAACAACGCGGTTAGTTTGCTCTGAAACTGACAGACCCTGTGTTCGTAGACTTCTGTCGGACCTCTAGGTCTCCGACGCACCGCTCTAGTAGTCTCTTCCAAGAATGCGGGCGATCAGGAACGGATTTCGTTTCCATTTGGAGGAGTCTGTTGATGGCTTATTCGTAGACCGAAGATAAGCATTTACAGATGCTGCCAAAGTGTTTGATCTAGAGCTCCCTTACAATTTTGCCGCCGTTTTCATGGACCCTCTGAAGCTGTTCCATCTCTAACAGCAGTGGTTCGACTCCTTCGCCTCTATCGCTCAATCAGTCCTGGTGTTATTGGCGTCTCCTCCCCCCCCCGAGGACCTCCGACATAATGGTATGAACGACGCCTTGTAATCCTTACGTACCTAACATCCATATCCTCTAGAAATTTTGGTTGCTCCAGACTCTTGATAAGTTTGCCGAGAGATGCAGTTCACATTTAGCACGGTCCAGTGTAACTGCGCGCAGTTTCCTTTGAGCTGTTTTACCTGGAGGCTATTTTAAGACGACTAAGGAATGATAGATCCTGCATTTGTCAACTCAAACCTCATCTGTCAAATGCACACCACGTCGAGCTCTCCCTTGTACCAGCGTGTCAATGGTAAAAGTTAGGGCGCATCCGCGTCGACTTCTTGCTTTTCGGTAGGCAGTCCGGCTGATCAAGAAGTCGCATTCCGCACAAGTTTTGGCGGGAGGATTCTGTTGCTGCAGCAGCTGCTCAGACCGTGAGGACTATGGAACTCTATTTGGGTGATATGTGCCTTCTCGTGCATTTAAATCACCAAAAACAACAGTCTGTCTTCTTCCAGTACGGATGTGAGAAGGACGCGGAAGTCCTCGTAGAACCTGTTCATCACAGCAAAGGTGTTGGACACAATTGAAATATAAGCACCGATAATGCTAGTGGAATTTTCCCGCGCAGTGCGGTACAGCACTTTACTGAAATGCTTGAAGGTACCCTGCCGTTCTTGAGGTCGAGCGATCTCAGACAATCTCCCTATTTTAGAATGTCAGCTCCAGCAAAAAAGACGTATCCAACAAACCATGGCCCCCGCAGCCTGGTATGCGCTGGCACTTCCCTGACACCTGGTTCTCTGCCGATAGATGCGAGTGCACTCCCGCTGGATATACAGGTGATGGGCATGACTGCCCAGTCATCATCCTCGTCCTTCTGACCCCTGTTGGGGTGTTGTTGTTGGTCAAAAACCGGGTCAATTGCTGAGTGTGGACCACGGGGTTTGGGGTGGAACGCCAAGGTTTTAGCTCGACCGTGCCATCTACCTGCGACAACCCGCCGTCTCCGCTCTTCTTGACTTTGTATTGACACCGAGTCTAGGTGGGGAGGAGGGAGTGCGATATATGCAGTGCAAGTCTACCATCACTATAAACTAATTCACGCGTAAGTCACCGTGCCTGGTGCACCTTCAGTATTAGTATCAGTCAATATCAGTGTATTTCAGGGAAAGTCGGTGTGTACCTTTGAAATCCCTATTGGTTACATGCAGAGGAAGTATATGGAGAAAATGGAAAGAAGGTAACATGAAAGAAGTACAAGGGGAATAACAAAAACTGTACAGATGAACTCGGAATTTAATGCGTTAACGGCATTTAAAGGCATATGAACTCGGTTTTTAGATTAAATGCAGCAGACAGTTGGGGCACACCTAAGATACAGGAAAAGAAGTAAAAAAAATTTTAGTCTGCAGGCATGGTGGTTAATGCGAGCAGCGGTGTACGACGTGGTTCAAAATTAATAAATTACCTATGCATATGATCGTTTTACAACTCTCTGAGCTGAGGTCATTGTAGATAATGTACCAGACTGTCTACAACAGACGACCCAACCTTGTACGATGAAACACTAAACCGAAATAATTGTGTCGCACTAAAACCCACTTAACTAAGTGTTGTAGATATTCTTTGTATGCTACAGATGCTTGGAGCCTTCACCCGATTCTCGGTTTGTAGATTAAATGCAGCAGACAGTTGGGGCACACCTAAGATACAGGAAAAGAAGATTCTCGGTTTGTAGATTAAATGCAGTAGACAGTCTGGGCACACCTAAGATACAGGAAAAGAAGTAAAAAAAATGTTAGTCTGCAGGCATGGTGGCTAATGCGAGCAGCGGTGTACGACGTGGTTCAAAATTAATAAATTACCTATGCATATGATCGTTTTACAACTCTCTGAGCTGAGGTCATTTTAGATAATGTACCAGACTGTCTACAACAGTACCGAAATAATTGTGTCGCACTAAAACCCACTTAACTAAGTATTGTAGATATTCTTTGTATGCTACAGATGCTTGGAGCCTTCACCCGATTCTTACTTACGTTAGACAATATGGTACCTATAGAGACAAGGCAGACCGGAATGGCCATTTCCGGCTTTTTGGTCGTCATCAGCCAGTCGTAGCCAATCCAAAATGTTGACCGCTTGAGATTCCAGCCCGGAATCTGTGATCGTTGAGTTTGACACTCTGCCACGTGTGGCACTGGCCCGTATGCTTACGATTACGTCTGCTAAATCTACTTAAATTTATTAATCACCGACCTGGGTGATAAACACCGAAAAGTGTCCCATCCTCGTGGAGGTTGCAGTCTCTTATCAGTTTTCCCCCCACTTGAAAGTACTCCGCTGAATCACTTGCGGAGGTGTCTTCCACTTCATGGAGATCGAAGACCCGCTTGTCGCCGGACTGTGATCGCACCTTACCTCTCACCTCTCGGAGGGGAAGCATCATTGGAGACGAGTTCGTACGCCCTAAACCGCACGATTCATGCTACGGCGCCAGGGGTGAATTGACGCACTCTTCAACCCTGATGCATTGGTACGGGGGAAAATTACACGATCTGGACTAGTCACTTGCTAAACAATGCCTGATATCGGATACCGTCCTGATTGTCAGTGGATGGAAGCCCCAGTCTTCACTAGTGAAACGGGATGTCCACCTGAATACCGGACTTAGTCGGTGAGGAAGTCGACGTCCCGGCTGTTAGCCACCACTTCAACCAAGTGACCAAGAAGACTCCTCTGACAGAAAGGATGCAACGATCGCTTCCTGTTAACAAGCGAATCATACATTTTAGGGTAAGGTGATACCATACTAGCAGCACAGGTACTAGCCAAAAGCCCATACACGCGTGTTTCGCCGATATTCTGTCGCTGCATTGTGCAGCAGTGAGGGGTTCGGCTCGTCAGTGAGTTCCCCAGCATTCCCCGTGTGTTTTCCGGTATAATCATACACCGCTTGTGTGTGAACCATCTGATTACCGGCTAGCTTATGCACTACCGAAATGCCACCTTACTAACATCTCTGTATGTTTTACCGACCTATCAGCATCAGCTTTCGACTAGCAACATAACTAACCTATTTTTTAGCAGTTATAAAAACGGGTTGGAAGGTTCCCTGGCGGTGGACTGCTGATTACAGCCGGTGATCGGAATGGTCGGTTTGGTCCTGCAGGCCCTCAAAACAATCACTTTCTTGACCGGCCTGGGTTTGGCTCTCGAAACGACGGCGATGAAAGGACGTTAAGCTCGGCATAGAGAAAACAAATGTTTGTTACCAATATTTTTCCGGCATTACCAGTGACATTTGTCAACCTGACGACAGTTGTCCACCGTGTACTCCATGGCTGAGTAGGAGCAGATACGGTGGCTTGCGCGTGAACTAATTTGTAATAATAATAGTAATAATAATGACGAAGACGACGATTATGGTGATACTGATGATGATGATGATGATGATGATGATGGTGGTGGTGGTGGTGGTGGTGGTGGTGTTGGTGGTGGTGGTGGTGGTGGGGATGATGATGATGATGATGATGATGATGATGATGATGATGATGATGATGATGATGATGATGATGATGATGGGCTTTCGCAAAATCTAGCGCGCCCTCCTCTCTCCCACCTGGATCCGGTGTCATAACAGAGTTAAGAAGACCGGAGGCGGAAGTGGACGTAGGTGGCTGGCATGGTCTATACCCGTCCTCTGCATGTGCTACGCACACGACATTGCTCCAGTACGCACACATCAGGATTTAAAATAGAGATAGGTTGTTCAGATCGTACATGAAGCAAAGGAGCCACGAGGATATAAGTCTGAAGAACACAGTTCTCACTTGAATAGGAGGTGTTCAGTTCAGTCCAGTTTATTTGAGGGAAAGTAGGTGTGTACCTTTGAAACCCCTATTTACTACATGCAGAGGAAGCATGCGGACAAAGTGGATAGGAAGGCGTATGAAAGAAATACAAAGGAATATAAAAAAAAACTGTACAGATGAGCACAGCGCTTCGTTGTGTTAACAGTATCTGAAGGCATATGAATTCTGTTTGTTGATTAATACAGTAGATATTTGAACCACACCCAAGCTACAGGAAAAGTAATAAGGTTTGTAATCTGCAAGCATCTTAATGAATGCGAGCAGTGGTGTGCGCCGTTATCTAAACATTGATAAATTACATAAACATATGTTACTTGAATATTTGTAGTAGCGCCACTATACATTTATTTATTTTTACGACGGTTAGCAAGACGATAGTAGTCGGGCGGCATTGTGGTGCGCACAATGTGGATCCAGCCTCTGTTTAAAAGTTTTTGCAGATTGTGACATAACAACGTCCTCAGGCAAAGTATTCCAAGCTGCAATCACTCTGTCGGAGAAGAAGAATTTTCGTGCGTCTAGCCGGGCACCAGTCACACGTTTGCGTAGATGGCCTCTCCGGTTAATCGTAGTCGCCAACTCGAAGAAGACTCCTGATACGAGGCAGCAGTCCTGACGTCGCAGGATGCGGAAAGCTTGTATCGGGTCATCACGTAGCTGACTGTAACTCAAAGGAAAGAGATCAAGATTAGCTGGTCTTGTTTCGTATGGTAGTGACCACTGTCCAGATACAAGTTTCTTTGCTCGCCGTTGAACGTTTTCGAGTATGCTGAGGTCTTTAGTGGTCCAGGGTCTCCATGCTTGAATAGCGAACTCCCCATGCGGCCGCACGAAAGTTCGAAAGACCTTGGTGAAGCAGTCTTCGTCAAATGAAGAGAATGTCTGTTTGATGACGTGTAGGATGGACATCGCCGACTTCGCTACCTTTGAGCAGTGTAGCGAAGGGTTGAGCGGAAAGCTTGCATCAGTTCATCACGTAGCTGACTGTAACTCAAAGTAAAGAGATCAAGATTAGTTAGTCGTGTTTCGTAGGGCAGTGACCACAGTCCAGTTTGGTTGCTCGCCGTTGAACTTTTGCGAGTGTGCTGAGGTCTTTAGCGGTCTTTGGCAGTCCACGCTTGGATAGCAAACTCCACATGCGGCCGCACGAAAGTTCGAAAGACCTTGGTGAAGCAGTCTTCACCAAATGAAGACAATGCCTGTTTGATGAGGTGTAGGGTGGACATCGCCGACTTCATTATCTTTGAGCTGTGTAGCGAGGGGTCGAGCGAGGTTGTAATCCACACACCTACGTTCTCCTGGGCGTTGACTACTTGCGATGGTTTGACAGTCAAACGGTAAACCATGCGGTTAGGAGAACTGGTTCCGCCGACGCGTAGGAAGTTACACTTGTTTATGTTAAACGACAGAAGTCAGTCGTTTGACCATTGCCCTAGGCGGTCTAGGTTTGTCTGCAATCGCGCTTGGTCAACTTCATTTACTATGGTACTTCAGATATTTATGTCATCAGCACACATTGCGACATGGCAATGCAGTCCGCTTGAACAGTCATTGACGTATATAATGAACAGTGTAAGGCCAAGAATGGAGCCTTGGGAAACACCATTCCCAACGGCAACCTCTGCAGACAACTTGAGAGCGGCCGAATAAAAAGCTTTGAATACATATCTTCGTTGTGTTATGCAGAAGACGATCTAAGCGTCACCACGCAGTGTTCTAAGGTCGCTGCGCGAGCAATGTCCGTTATGAGCGCGATACGCAGAACGTTTATACACTTGAATAAAGATGTTTTTGGCAAGGTATACAGGACATTCGTGCGGCCGCACCTGGAATATGTGGTACAGGCTTGGCGGCCGTGGCTTCGGAAGGATATGGATATCCTTGAAGGTGTACAACGGCGTGCTACAAAGGCTGTTCATGGCCTCAAAAACTTCACGTATGAGCAGCGCCTGACGGCCTTGAACCTCTATCCCCTCCACTACAGGCAGGACAGAGGTGACCTCATAGAAACGTTCCAGTTGGTAAAAGGACTTAATCTGGATGTCGATTGGGAAACGTTTTTTGAAATGGCACCCAAGTCCAATCTCAGACGACATGATTACCAGCTGAAAAGGGAACTGTGCCACACAAATCAACGCTCCTCCTTTTTCTCACAGAGGGTCATTCGCCAATGGAACTCTTTGCCGGAGTTTGTTGTTAATTCTCCTACCGTGAACGTGTACAAGAGACAACTGGATGCTTACCTGCTGAAAGGCAACCCGAACTGCCGAAGTCTGATCTAGCGGATTACTGAAATGACTATAAATATACTACTAACAAGATTTCAATAGATCCTATTTGTGCTACAAACTTAGTCCATCTTGAAATTTTCACAGTCCGAATGCGGTGAACAAAGTTTTCGCAATTATTTCGCGATTATAATATCCCTTTCGCCTTTATGTTACATTATTAGATTTATTAATTCTCCTTACTAAAACTACAAGCTTTGCAATTTAACTATTTTCCCTTATATCTGTACCCTCTAAATGGAGTTTTCAGGACTTCTGTCGTTCACTCCAAATATACTGACTGATTTATGGTGTGTGCGTTTATGGGGTAATATCTGATGATAAAGTCTAGTATATGGTAATTTGCCGCATAGTTTGATGAGGACGCATATGCCCGAGTGGGCCCATGCGATAGCTGAATGTGGGCAATGCGGGCAGTTGAGACGATGGCGGTGAGTGTACGTCGGTGTTCCAGGCACCGATTCACCAGTCTCTCTGCGATTACTTCTCAGGTGACGATCATGTGCGTTAACAGTGTGGGCAAGAGAGAGAGAGTGAGATTATGAGTCGGGTGGGGTTTTTATTCTACTAACGGTGGCCGCGCTGATGGATGGGGAGCCTGGTAGGGCGGGGGATGGAAAAGTTGTTGGGTGTGCTCCGTAGGTCGAGATTGCGGTGAATTCCGCTGTCTAGACTTTCATGCGACCGAACAGACACATGCGGCGGGTGTGTGTGTAGGGGCTCCTGGCACTGGTGCACCAGTCGCGGTGAGATGGATCCTCAAATGATCGGCCAGGTCGATGCGCGATGTGAATGTGCGACGGCAATGAGAGTTCTCTGACACCTGGCTGCCTGTCGATAGATACGCTTGCGCTCTCGCTAGGTATACAGGTCCTGAACATGGTTGACACTCAGGTAACAAATGGGAGACGGCACCCAAAAACTCCGTTATCCAGAAATAATACCTGCTCTATCTATTTGAGTAGGTTATAGCCCTGACACTCATCCTTGTCGATACAAGCGAAAATGCGAGTTCCAGGAACTAGTTGATCAGAAGAAGAAGAAGAAGAAGAAGAAGAAGAAGAAGAAGAAGAAGAAGAAGAAGAAGCGATCGCTGGAACAATGGCTTTATTCGCCTGACGTTTCGGATTCTCTCTTGAATCCATCATCAGAGACAGTTGCAGAAAAGGGTGGCTAGTGTACAGGCAGTCGTAGTATTTATAGGATGCGGTCGCCATACTACCGCATACCTACAGCAATTAACCGTGCTTCCTTCATCAAGGATTGTTGCCCGCTGGTGCGCTAATTGCTTGATGGCCGGCATGCAAGTTGTTAATTGCTGACATCTCATCACCCGTGTTGGATGCTGGCGTGATGATTGCTCGGCCATCTGGCTCGATCTGGCAATCGAGACCGTCCAGCTACTCCTACGAAACAAATACGATGAAACGGAGAATCGTCTCGGACATGCCCAAGTTCTTCAGCTCCTGAAGTTCTGTCTCAGGACGTACTTCACGTTTGACGGAACAATCTACGAGCAAGTGAAGGGAACACCAATGGGCTCGCCGATTTCGGGATTCATCGCCGAGGCGGTGCTACAGCGGTTGGGGTCGCTGGTCTTCCAACACCACAGACCAAAGTTCTGGGCCCGGTATGTGGACGATACCTTCGTCGTCATCGAACGGGATCAGGTGCTAACGTTCAAAGAACGTCCCAACAGCGTCTTCCCGGACATATAACTCACGATGGAGGAGGAAGAGAATAACCAGCTGGCATTCCTTGATGTACTCGTCTGTCACAAAGATTGTGGTGGCCTAAAGACCAAAGTGTTCAGAAAAGCAACGAACACGACGCAAATTCTGAACTTCAACAGTAACCACCCAATCTGCCACAAACGCAGTTGCGTAAGAACGTTATTTCGGCGTGTTGAAACGCATTGCAGTGAACCGGAAGACAAGGTTGCCGAATCCCAATATCTTCGACGGGTTTTCCGAGAAAACGGTTACCCGCGCAACTTCGTCAACCAGTGCTTGCGCAAACGAGACGAGCGACAAAATCGCGCCGACTCCAAATTCTGGCGAGCGATTCCGTACATCAAGAACGTCTTCGAGGCCGTTAGTCGCCATCTTGCACCACTTGGGGTTGGAGTTGCGCACAGACCGGAGGCCACCATGAGGCGTCAAGTGATGAGACCAAAAGACCCACTGCCACGGCAAGAAACATCTGGAGTCGTTTACCGGATCTGGTGCAGTTGCGGACAAAGCAACTACGTCGGAGAAACTGGAAGACTGCTCCGGACGCGAATATCCGAACACGTGGCAGCTGTACGGAGAAATGACGCCAACTCTCAGGTCGCGGCCCATTCGACGAGACCCGGCCACACATTCAAGTTCGATGAGGCCGAAATTCTCGCGAGAGGGGATAATCGCGTGAGCAGCGAGTTGCTTGAGTCATGGTTCACGGGACCCCAGTCTATCAACAAGTGCAACGACATCCCCACTCCATATTCTGTCCTGAGGCATAGACTGGCCAAAGCAATTGATCACTCGAGGAGAGCGCAAGCACGTGAGCCAGATGTCCGAGCAATCATCACGCCAGCATACAACACGGGTGATGAGATGTCAGCAATTAACAACTTGCATGCCGGCCATCAAGCAATTAGCGCACCAGCGGGCAACAATCCTTGATGAAGGAAGCACGGTTAATTGCTGTAGGTATGCGGTAGTATGGCGACCGCATCCTATAAATACTACGACTGCCTGTACACTAGCCACCCTTTTCTGCAACTGTCTCTGATGATGGATTCAAGAGAGAATCCGAAACGTCAGGCGAATAAAGCCATTGTTCCAGCGATCGCTTCTTCTTCTGATCAACTCATCCTTGTCTTTCTGACCCGTTGTAGTGCTGCTGTTGGGTAGAATTCTCATCAAGCGTCTGTTGTGAACCAGGGGTGCGGTAGTACGCCTAGGTGCAAGTTCGGCCGAGCCAGTCGTCTGCGCCCCCACCTCCAGTCGTTTTGAATATGTCTCGACACCGGCCCCAGCTGGGAAGTAGGAGTAAATGCGGTAGATGCTGCCGCGCTATAAACTAATTCACTCGAAAGTCACTGTGCCCGCCTCACCTTGCTGTGGAGCACCTGGTGGACATCGTCAGGCACGACGGTCGAACTGTTTTGGTGTAGCGAGAATGACTGTCATCCTTTATGGTCGATGTCTGGCCAAAGCAGTAACCTAAACCGACCCTTCTTCTACTCAAAAGCCAGACAGTGCGGTCGAAACACTGTTAACTGGTGTGATATGCAGTGCTGCCTTATCCTCCAGAGTTGAAAGTCTTCTTTGAAGTCAAAAAGTATGGGCAATAAATTTTCAGTTGAACTCCTCTTTAGATAATTTTATGAAACCTTATTTCTCATGGACAATGAGATTTACCTGTCATTGATCTTGTCCCATGTTTTTCGTTGACCTGCTTCGCCAAACAGGATTTGCTATAATGTGAACGGTTGTGTAGGCCTTCACCATAGCTGTGTTAATGTTCCATTACATTTGCACTTGGCAGTATGCCGAGTTTCCATTTATCCACGTGCCGTGAGTTAGCTTTTAATTGGTCGATAAATTTAGGTGGAGGGTATGTGCAAAAACGGCAGCTCTAGCTCAATATAGGTTAGTACATTTAAGGGCAGTAAAGAATGCCTTCGATGACCCTGTCGAAAACTGTGTACACAATACTTAAGTCCATATGAACATGTTACTAACTTGTTGCAAGTAATATATTTCTTTAGATAGTATTTTGCCGTCCGGGTACCATCGGGATGATACTGATAATTAAGTAGTAACCATCCGCAAGAATGATAGGTATGTGCAAAGGGCTCGTTTGATGTAACGGAGCTGTCCTAAAGAGGTTGTTGACGGTTTTGTAGGCCTGCGAAATTCAAGTACATCTGTGAAATGGCAGCTAAAGCGCCCATAAAATTTGTAGGTTTATTTCGCAAGACAATGGTAACTGGAGTAGCCAGTTATGGTTATTTCACGTCGTCGGTCACCTATAACACAAAGTTGGGCTGCCGAACCTAAAACTAGGATGCAGTCCGAGTTGAACGTTTGCCCGAGTGCTTCGCTGGTTAAATGAAGGGCCCCTGATCTGCAGTCTACTATCGGGAATAGCTCATCTGGTGGTACTACTCGAATAGTCCCGGTTGCCAGATGGAGTACTGCCTTCCACTCAGGAGCCGTCACTAAATAAATGACGGGAGTAAGTAATAATCGAGCAATTTTGCCAACAGAGGCTGGGGAAGTCGTAAAGGTCATTTCTGCCCTACCGCGCGATGTCAGCCCAGCAGAACGTCAAAGCCGAGTTTGGAAAATCTGGAATGTTAACTCCAAGGTAGTCATTACACTCTCCATCGCCACTTTCCTATATTCTGCTTGTCTCCATGCCATCATCTGTGCGGCCCTCGAACTAACGCTTGGGAGGAACGGATTTGGGCGTATTCTTTGTGGGAAATCAGGTCCGACGATGGACGCCACCGTCCCTCTCCCCATGTGACTTTCCATTGTCTCGATCCTAGAAGCCTGCATGTGAATAGCGGGTTCACCCGCCCTAGCAATCAACCCCAGGACCAGGTAGACGGCATCCACTTCTCAGGTCTCATTGTCTTGAACCGAGGTTTGATTGACTAAGGACGAAATCTAAGGCCGTAACCGGTCCAGACTGGGGTGCATCATCCTAAATGATCCTAAACCTTCTCTCGTGTGATATTTGGATGGTTTATAATAAGTGCGACCCTGGCGGAGCACTTTGGCCACTTCGCGTATTCTGGCATTCAAGTCAATACTACGCAAATCGGCTTGAGAAATGAAAGGTTTCGTGGACTTCTTTGAGATATGATGAGACCAACACGTTTTTAGGAAAGTATTTTCGGGAGGGTCATCTCGCCTCTGAACACCCCACCATCTACAGGCATGATACACTAGTCCTAAAAATTAACTGATGTGTACAGCTGGGAAACATATTTTGAATCTTGCCTGCGTTCTTAGGGTTTAAATGCCACTTGTCATTCAGGCTGTCTGAAATTAATCTTACGGTGTCATCGGATATTTGTACCCCGTGGTTTATTTTCAGGAAAATATTACAGGCATACGTGTCAAATTATTGCTCCCTAAATGTTGCTTCTTCAACTGTTAACGGCTACCAATACATGTGTTGATTCACTTGTCCTTTGGTTCGTTCAACAATAAGTCACTTTAAACAAACCCATATTTGTCGATTCTCATAATTAGCCCTTTGCAATATTGCATGATATGATTGAAGGAGGACCGGTGTTTTCTGCGCGATATGTTCACCGTCATAGAAACCTAGTACACGTTTGTATTTGGGACTAGCTTTTGTTTGACTGTCTAGATAAAATCGTGTGTTACGTCAGTATCAGCAAACCATGGGCCTCGAAGTCTGGTATGCGCTGGCAGTTTCCTGACACCTGGTTCCCTACCGGTAGATGCGCTTGCGCTCCCGCCGGGTATACAGGTGGTGGGCACGGCTGCCCAGTCATCCACGTTCTTCTGACACCTACAGGGATGTTGTCGTTGGTGAAAAATCCCGTTCAAGTGCATGCTATGAACCAGGGGTCTGGTAGCAAGCCTAGGTTCGGGTCCGGCCGTGCCAGCCACCTGCGCCCTCCCCCCCCGCCTCTGGTTTTTTGACTCTGTCTTGGTACCGGGTCCAGGTGGGGAGTCGGAGGAGAGAGTGCGGTAGATGCTGTGCAAGTCTAAATTCACCATAAACTAATTCACGCGCGAGTCATCGTGTCTGCTGCACCTTACTGTGTAGCACACGGTGGACATCGTCGGAATCGACGGTCACCGCGTCCGTGTCCACCTCCTATAGCCTTGATAATATCTTTCCACCGGAGTAAGGTGAGTGAGGGAAGAGAGAGTGTTGTATGTGATGCGCAAGGCTTCCTCACCTTGCAACGATTCACGCGCTATTCTCCGGTGCTGCGCCCATTCCGTGAAACGCGCTGTGGATGTTGTCGTTGGCCGATAGGGTAGGAAACCGATTGACAGATAAGATAACTGTCTGTATTAGGAAGTGGCCAATGCTCATTCAGGAAATAGATGCCTTTTAGGAAAGCAGTGAGAACGTCGTCTAACTCCTGTCTGGGGAGTTTCGATAAGCTTACCTGCAGACCTCATTACAGTCCTA